TCCTTGTTTTTTTTTTTCCCCCTAGATGGATATGCACAAAAAATTCCTGTGCAGAGTCCTGTGTCCATCACCAGGTCCCAAAAAAGTGTGCGGATGACCTGTGAAATCAAAAGTTTAGGGGGAAATTTTGATAGCACCGTCATACACTGGTACCTGCAGAAGGAGGGGAGAGCTCCAGAGCGGCTGCTGTACTTTACAGGAGGGCAAGCTTCCTTTGACAGTGGCTTTCATCCAAACAGGTACATGGTTGAAAAAGTTTCTGGCCAGAACCGGTGTGTTCTTACAATAAAAGATGTAACTCCAGAGGACGCTGCTACCTACTACTGTGCCTACTGGGATCCTCTGAGTTCCCCTGTCGTAGAAACTCAAAGATCATCAAGACAAAAACCCCTCCCTCAGTCTCTGAGCCACAGGGTTGTAACTGCTGCTCCCCAAGTTTTCTTGCTCCACCTGATGTGAACTGCTGAAAGGCCAAACTTTCTTTTGCTACCCAAAACAGAGCACTAACCCTCCACAACTGTCCTTTGAAAAGGACAAATCTCTAAATCTTTTCAAAGGATCAAATCTCTGAATTCCAGCTAATGATAGCATTTCTCCTTTTCTCTTTCCAGCAAAAAAAAAATCAGGGTATGGTCAGTGCTGACTTGGAAGCATCATCTGCCAAAAACTAGAGATTTCGATTGGGCAATGCAAACGGAATGGGGAAAGTTCAATACTTAACCCATCCTCTGCATCCCACCTTCTCTTCCTTTTCACTCAAGCTTGTCCGTGAACTGGTGGTAAGGTCTTATTCAATGGAAAGTGGCACTTTTCCATATTCCTGGAAATAGGCCAGCAGGCTATACAGGAGCTCTTCAAAACCTTTGGCCTCACAAAGAAAACTGCAAAAGAGAACTTTAGCCTGAGGCTTTGTTAAAATTGTAAGCAGAGAAAAAGGAATGTAATTTTCTCTACAAAGTTACTAGCTGTTGGAGGAGGAAGATATTCTATTTATTCCTCCTGAGATCTGGAAGTGGGAATTTTTGTTCATTGTTTTTAAGCCCTTTCCCCCTCTGTCTGTGTTTCTGAATTACCCAAAAACTTGAAGACAGTGTTACCAAAGTTATTAGCAAAGGAAAGAGCTTTCCATAATATAGAGCAGCTTTCCATACCAAAGCAGTTAATCCCTCCTAGCTATTGCCTCAAGGTACATGTCCACCCTCCTGAGAAATTCAGCCACAGGGGTTTTTCTCTGCCATCAAGCCTCTGCTTAATATTTCCCTTTGCTGTGGTACCCTGATACTCTCCTCATGTGGCTCAGTGAAGTGTAATTCATTAGAGTAGATTAGTCTGAGGAGATGAAAAGGTCACACAACAATTTCAAATGTGTTTTAGGTCTCCAACAGGTCAGTTTTGTGCTCCTCATACTTGCAAGCTCAGCTCATACAGCAGAGTTAGACAAGCTGTCTGCAACATGCACTGCTTCACTTTTCTTCTAGTGAGACCTCCCAGCTACTCACTGTCCCGACGATAACCCAACAGTCCCAGCAACTGCAGGTGAGAAGGTGGTGGCCTCCTTTGCCATGTGTCTAAAGGCATGGCAGGAAATGCACCGGTCTGCACCGTTTTTTGTCTCCATCACTCCTGCCATTGCTTTGTGGTTGTGTTCACAATAGTCTTGCCCAGGAGCCTTCAGACTACACGACTGCTTTTGTAACACCTACTTCAACCGAGAGGCTTCACCCTCAGTCTGGTTCCTCCTTCTAGCCACAGAGGGTAATTTCCCAGTGTTGTTTTGCAGTCAGTGTGCCACACTCAGTTTCTTTTCAATGGCAAAGGAAGCACGCAGGCTGCTTGATGGACAGAGCAGTGCCTCCTCTGGTGTCATCTTGGGCTGTTCAATAAGAAACCTGTGTGCAAAGGAAAAGCCTCCTTCTCCTTCCAGTTAGTATGTGGGGAGCTGCTGTTGCAGAGCCTGGAGGGATTACAGGAGATGGGCAGATAAAGACCACGTCCTGGGAGCAGAAGATGCCACCTGCAGCACATGGACACCTTCACAATGCTTATGGTGCTGGCTCTCCCTTCTTTGCCTCTGCTGAAGCATATTAAGACAACTAAAAATGAACTCCATGCTGGTAGCACTTGATGCCACCTAATTACAGGTGAGAGGGGATCGTCTCACCTCTCTGGGTACGAGCAGGATTGTCACCTGAAGGTATGTATTTTTTAACATGCACAACTTGGTGCACCTATTTGTGTGTCTGAAATTGAAGAGAAACCTTCATCTAATCCTTGGGTGTTAAAGAGAGGGGTTATCTAACAAACTTGCAGCCCTTTAGGAAGGAGATTTAGCCTTCAGATTTAATCCAAAGGGCATTAGATATCAGCTGAACAACCTGGTGCAAGTCTGAAATTCATCACATCCTCCCAGGAGCCATGGGCCAGGCCCTCGTGCAAACTCCTGGGGTTGACTGGGAGAAAAAAAAATGAGATTTTCCTCAGCGAGAGAGTGTGTTAGGTTATTGTAAAGTCAAAACACACTGTGGACGAGCTGGATCAAATACTTCGGCACGGGAACCAAGCTCATCATCTCTCGTAAGTACCATTATTATTGATTTCAGTTGCACAGAGTCCTTCAAGTTCTCAGATGATTAAGAATGAAAGACTGTAGGAAAATTCATTTCTCCCTGATAAATCATGTTTTGTCTGTGAGCTGTGTGTGGTGCCTCAGTTGGTTGGATTGGTTGGCAATAAATATATTTACCTTGTGAATAGAGAGATAACCTCTAGAAAAATTAGTGAATACTTAGTAAGGTTGGAGGAATGGAAAAATGAGGAGAGGTAAAAATTTAAATATTGGGATGAATTCATCCCTGGTTAGTGAAAGAAACGTGAACTTAAAAGTTTACTCTCAGACACCAAGTGAGAAATGCAAAATGTTTCTTATTGATACAATAAGAAATTGGTTCAAAGTGGTTCAAAGTTGATTGGCATGGAAAATTGCCTGGAATGTAATCAATTTTTTAGTTCCTGGTCCTACTGAAAGTAATTGGTTTACTTTTACATTTGTATTACTCTTAATAGTGGGGAAGCTGTGCAATCAATAGGAAGAACACTTTTTTTCAGTATAAAGCATATAACACCTACAGTATGTTGCTCAGAAAATACGTTATATTATCAAAGTGACTATAATTAAGTCAAATCATAAAAACAGAGGAGAATTACAGAAAATTTTAAAATGCTATCCATGCCTTAGACCAAAAACCTTCTCTGCTGCAATTTGCAATTGACTGTGCCTGTATAGAGGCATCTGCTTTTGCCAAAAAAGAGAACAGTATAACCACTTACCAGAGGCATGAATTGAGTTATGAGGGTCAGGAAGTTCTGATTAGAATATAGACTTTCTAATAAAAATACAGGCTTCAGATCTTGAGTTTTATGAAACTTTATTTAAGGTACTTTCACACAATAATTAATTTGAAAGATAGGTCACTTAGGGGAAATAAAATATCTTTACCCATATATTTAAATCAACAAATAACTAGTAAACTTCCTTAATTTCCTTTGGGAATTATAGTGCAACTGCATTTCTTCTTGAAACAGCAAAAAGAGTTTACTTCTGCAAAAAACCTAGCTGACCAGAGGCAACAGATCTTTCTTAGAGAAATCTCAGAGCTAAAAAGGTCAGAAACCAGTTGCAAAATAACCACAGCACTGTTTTATTCACAGAAAATGCTGGGTTTAAAAACCTGAGCTTTTTAACTCACTACAAAAATGGAAGTATTTCTAAAAACATCACTCTAGTCAATGCTGGAAATTCAGCTATTGCACTGGGCCAGGTTTATCAGCAAGCTCTAAATCAGGGAGAGTTTTTCTGTAGCTTCTGCAGGATGAGTGCAGTGCAGGAGATATTGCTAAGCATTGTTGGGCTGTGGGATGACGTTTTCAAAGTATTTGGGACTGGAACCAAGCTTATTGTTTCAAGTAAGTACAAAATGTAAAACTTCACTGAAAAGCATTTCAGAAGCAGTTAGATACTGGCTGTGTGAAGTGCTCTGCTGCATTAGCTGCTGCTAGTCTTAACCCTACTGAATGCTTTGAAAGATTTTCCTCTTAAATAGCATTTCCATGTGCAGAACATAATGTAATTGTTTGGTGTTTATGTATGAAATGGGGGAAACACAACAGCAATCGCAGCAGAGATGTATAACTAACCCCATTATTGTTTTCTTTTAAAAGATTAATTTAAATATGAGAAAGATAACATTCAGAGAACTGAAAGATGTTTTTAAATATGCATATTCAACATTTGTTAATTCATCTGGAAAGAAAAGTGTCAAACCTTTCAGTTATTCAAATTCTTTGAAAAGCAAAACGTTTTCCTTTAGGACTATGTCTGACTATGCTGAATGAAGGGAGTTTTCTGAGACATGCCCAGAACTGTCTGAAAATACAGTTGAAAGGCTTCTCCCTTCTCCCAGCTTTTGCAGAAACCACTTCTTATCAGTTATTATTATTATTATTAAGGAATAATGCCAAACTCAGAATATTTCAACATACTTCTTAAAATTATTTAGCTTCGAGTCAGCCTCAGGCACTTTGATACTTGCCTGTGATCCAGCTCAGCTAAGCACTTGGGATGAAAACAGTTTGCCTGATTTTGACCATCTGAAAATAGTGTGTCTGGTTAGTAATAGGCTCGATTCCAATCCACGCAGGGTTTTGCTTCATGCCACTGGAAACAAAAATATTGGTCATGGATCTTGTGCTGCTCAGATGTCAGCATAAAGTTCATTAGGTCTAGGTCTGATTTTACAGGGGTGTACAAGGAGCAAATTACTTGGTCAATATCTGATCAAATAGATCCTCTGCTGGTGCTGCCTCTCTCCAGAAAGCAGAGAGAGTGCCAAGGTTCTCAATCTGCACTATCTATCCAAATTTTCAGAAGACTGAAATTAGTTGAGATAAATCCTGTCCATTTAACAACATTGATGCCCTCATAAAAAAAATGTTTAGTTTAGTTTAGGCAACTGCTCCATTTTATTTTTCTAGGGTCTAAAAATTTATATTTTGCTGTATAAACAGCAAATTTTATTTGCTTTAAAGAATAGTATTTACCCATAGACAGATAAGAGAGCTGCACTGTTATTAGTCTTTATTCACTGCGATTGGTTATTATGACAGCTTTTGGCTCTGGTACAAAACTCATTGTGTCAGGTAAATTACATGCTATTTTCCATAGATTAAGCTATAGGATCTTGGGGTGGTCACACAGATGAGTGCTATAGTGTCCCAGAGGACACTCAGCCTGGTCAGAGCCTCAGCTGGCACCGTCGTTATGTGGGATTCCTGTCCCCCCTTGTCCTTCCAGCAGTGCAGGAATGACATTGCATCTGTAATGCAGTGATCTGGTGTCACAAATATTTCTGAAAAGGAGTTATTCTGAGCCAGTTTTGATCATATTCCTTGGAAATGTGGTGGCAAACAGCCTATAGTAGTTTCCAGAGCCTTTATTCCTTCCTCCACCTGAAGGAAGACTCAAGGAATCAAGCAGCTGTGAATTAAGCATAAAAAAAAGAAAACCTCTTCCCAATACAGACATAAAGAGAACTGTGCAATGGCCATTGCCAAAATCCTTTTTTAATTAGGCTAGTAAAAGTGAAAGAACATGCTTGTAATTATTTTTGCCATGTACACTGCACTTTGGCAGTAGAAATAAATTAGCACCTCCCAATGCTCTTCTTATTGCTTAAAAACACACAGAAGTGATCCATTTTTTTGCCTTTCCTGCAGAGACATTTATTTAAATGGGAAACGAAGGACAAAAAATCCCCTTTTTCCTATTAAATGTGCTTTAAATGCCATAATCCTGGATTAAACAACAATACAAACACAATGCAGAGGAACTATTGCTACCAAACGCTTTAAGCCTGGTTAATTACATAAACATGTATTAGCATATCAAGCAAAGAATGTTTTTAATTATTTATGTCAGAAAGACTAAGTAAATCATAACTATAATTCAACAGAAATAGTCATGGCATAAAGATTATCCTATGGAAATATCCATTGGGTAAGTATGTTGTTTTTAGTGAAAATCCTTACTTTGCTCATCAGGTAGTTGCCATCCTTTTAGTATCTACAGTTTAAAAGACATTCTTTTCAAGCACTAACTACCCTAATTCTTGAGGATTTTTGTCTCAATGTGGCCAAGGCTTCTGAGCAATTAATCATGTAAAAGGGCTGTAGTTACCTCATGCTTAAGATCAGGCATTTCATCACAGCTTGTCTTTTTATCTTTGTCTTAATGACTTCAGATCATTAAGTTATAGATTATAAATTATAGGTCATAGGTTATAGACCTAAGTTATAGGTCATTTAAGTAATAGAAAGAAATGGAGAAAACTGGGACTTAGTATCTAAGTGACCTTAATTCAGTTGAGCCAGCAGGGTTTGAGCCTGAGCAGAATCTTTTCCCAGATCTATACTGAAGGAGTCAAATATATAAAATGCCAAACTCCCATCAACTTGTAATGAACTTGATTTTGCTCTTCTTGGTCTCTTTCAATTATTTCTGACCAAAAGAAAGTTGCTCAAGACTTAAGGCAGGTAACAGAAGGGCTGGGATTTGAGAGCCTGTTTTGGCATTTGTGTTTCATGGAAGAGATGAGTATTTAGAAGCTCAACAGGGATATTAATCCACCATAAACTGCCAACACAGGATTCTTCTGTAAGTATCTTCCCAAGGAATTTAGGCAGTCACAACAGGGAAGCAAAGACTGATCTGGCCTCTCCAAATCCATTTTTTTCCCCTCAGCACAGGGCTGGTTTCCTTCTGCCACAGCTGCAGCTGGGTCTCCCTGGCAGCTCACAAGCACTTTGGGAACTTATTTTGAAGTGAGAAAAAAACAATTTACTAACATATCAGCACAGGGCTGGTTTCCTTCTGCCAGTTCTTCTGCTACAGCTGCAGCTGGGTCTCCCTGGCAACTCACAAGCACTTTGGAACTTATTTTGAAGTGAGAAAAAAAAAAATTTACTAACATTTCTAGGAAATAATTTCATAGCCGAAATTCAAATTCATTCAAATGCTGTTTCCTAAATATTACTCAAATATCTACCTTGTTTTCATCAAATACATTGAAATTCAAAGTTCAAAAAGCTACAATTATTTTTTGTAATTATATATTTTATAAAATATTTGTTGCCTAAAGATAGATTATACTTACATTTATTTATACATTACCTGAAATCGGCTCAAACTGAATTTCTGCTGTTTAAAACAAAATTATGAAGTTTAATATATGCATTACTTTGCATTATTATGTTGTTATTTTTTTTTAACATGGAAAACCACGAAGGTCTAAATCAAAACCCAATGGACTTGGAAGTCCAAATGAGTGTTAGAGCTGAAGGATGGAGCTGTAAAACATAAATAACGGAAGATGTGGCCACTCAAAAGATTTACTCTGCAGAGTGAAAGCCCCTTCCTGCAACTAATATTAACAGGAACACTTGCTAAAGGGTTTAAAATATCAAGGGTTTAATGGGCATGAAGATGAATTCAGTGTCTGATTATTTTAAGGCAATGTTCA